GTTCAACGTAGAAGACTATCGGTGACAACACGAGCTTCATTGGTCGTTTCCTGTTCGTCAACCCTTCCGCACTACAATCAAATGTTGGTCGACCAGCCCCACACTGAACGCAGCCGCTATGTATCGAAAGTGTGAACCCTTTCTAGGCGTGGGCTGCTGTAGTGGAACGCTTCTACGAAGAAAATACGATTTGTTAAAAATAAACATTATTGTACTCGTTTTGTTTAACTGTACCAAAAACACTTCTACGACTCCTTGCGCGCAACGTTCTCTTTGCATTGCTGCCATTTTCCTCTATTTGCTGTTCCCGATGTAATGCCTACTGTCTCCTTAAATAAAACCTTGGATCATGGATTTGTTTTGATATTCGTGACGCGATCGTATGGAACATTTAGTGGTGAGCATAGTCAATCTAGCATCTTGACTCGCTCGCTACAAGCTAACGGAGGCCCTTCAGGCTTGATACAGCTCGAAGAACGATCTTTCTAGCCGTATAAGGGGTTGTGAAAGCGGACACAGATCTATGAGACGAAAAAAGGGAGGCCAAAACAAACACATACTATTGACAGCTGATCTCGATCAACAAACCACGGCACAAAACATGAAGGTGATGGACTCGCTGGCTGAATGCACTACACAAGCAAAAGAACTGAATAGGTTAGTTCCTACAGAGCTGACCAACTCAGTTTGAACAACTTGATTGAAAATCCGACACTAACTGTTATTTCAGAGGTGCACCAAGTGATGAGACAAACTACCAAGTGCCTCTATAGAAACGTAAGAGGACTGAGGAGTGAGTCATTATAAATCAGCAATTTGTGCTCTCAGATGCATCTGAAGATCATAATCCTAATTGAAACATGGCTATCCTCTGAAATTGCAGACGACGAATCGAGTTTGCGAGGTGTGACACTCTTCCAAAGCGGTAGGGTACACCAAACAGGGGCCTGTGTGGCTATATCTATTAACAGTTATTTGAAAGCCGAGCGGCTACACGACACCGAATCATGTTGGTATTGTTTCCGCACAAACCATATATACTTGATTGGAGGGATTTACCGACCCCCCTCAGGGACTAAGGTCAAGAAAGACAAATTAACTGAGACAGTACTGCAACTGCCACTTCTTGAGTTTGATCAAATACTCTTATCTGGAGATTCTAGCAACCCATCTCTGAATCCCAGCAAACAGTGTACAACTCCAACTGGTTGGTTCCAAAGACGACTTGGCACAGCCATTAGAAGCTATGAGCTTACTGAGCATGTATTCAGTTCCCCTAGATGGACTATGGAGGGAAAATCTTCAGTTCTGGATTATTTGATAAAAAATGATCAGCTTCTGATCGACCGTGTTCACGTCCATACACCAATAGGAATTAGTGACCATGGCAGAGTCTTGTTTAACATGGTCATAAAAAAGCACTCAGGTAGGCCGAAAAGGAGCGCGACGTTTGCTACACTAGGGCGAGTTATGTGCCTATGAGAGAGAACCTTCTAAATATCCCATGGCCAGAATGCTGTTGTAAACCATGTGCCTCAGTCACACGGCACTGAACGTTTGCTACAGGTGAAGAGGAGAGCCTGGCACAAGTGGAAGGTCTCCATGGAGGATTCCGATCGTAGTTCTTACTTGGCATTGAGAAGCAGATGCACTATCAAAGTTCGAAGTGATAGGAGACGCTTTCAGATGAAGCTAGCTGACCAAATACAGGCAAACCTAAGGTATCTCTTAAGGTTCATGACTAAAAGAAAACCTACGAATCAGGGTGTGTGTTCCCTCATAGGTCCAAACAGCGAAGTTCTCACCGATCCAGAGATATCTGAGATCTTCAAGAGAAACTTAGCCATTCAGTTAAACTAGGAATCCACATGTTCATAGTACTACGCAAACCCAGTGCCAACCGACGGCTTAGGTTAGGCTCAGTATTACTCCCGACTTAGTACTAAGGAAACTAAAATCCTTACACCCTGCAAAGTTACCAGGTTGTGACAATATTCACCCCATGGTCTTGAAATAATGTGCAGAATCTGTCAGTTCACCGATATGTGACCTGTTCAGGCATTCTTTGGAGTCACACCAACTCCCAGTTGAATGGAAACAAGCTACTCCCTCTCTCCAATCTTCAAAGGAGGATATAGGAAGGACACAGCCTGTTAAAGACGAGTCTCACTACTACAAATACTATCAAAGTTAATGGAAGGACTGGTGAACGAACAAATGAGCGAGTACATGGAAAAGAATAAAATACTCCATGACGCTCAACACGGGTTTCGGAAAGGCAGGTCGTGCACATCCAATCTTCTCACAGCATGGGACAGTTGGACATCCTGCTTGGACCGAAAAGTACCGGTGCACGTAATACTTCCTGACTTCGCAGAAGCATTTGACACAGTACCCCACGCACGCCTAATCGCAAAGGTTGCGGAAATGAGCTTCACTGGCATACTCCTATCATGGTTCAGAAAATACGTTGAAAATTGAAAGTTTCTTACCAATGTCGGTGCAACGTAGAACGTCGTACGTACGTACTCACCAAGGTAAATGTGGTGCACAAGGGACCATCTTAGGTTCACTCTTCTTCCTAATGTTCATCAACAAAATAAGCTCAGCACAATTGATCTTCGCAGACGATGCGGAGATTTGGAGGTCTATTAGAAGCGAAGAGGATTACATCCATTACATCCATTGAAGAATGGGCAGTGATGAACGGCTTAAAACTAAACTAGCCGAAATAACACGTCATGTACATTCTGCCCCACATGACGCTGACGATTTACACCATCAACTGAAGTTCGCTCCCTAATGTCTGCTCAGAGCGCGGTCTTGGTTTAATAACCACTGAAGGTCTCCACACCAGTTCGAACTATATAGAGGACGCAGTCAAGGCAAATGCAACTCTTCACTTTATGCGAAGACAACTTGGTGCTATCACCTCACAATTATTTTTGATTCTGTTTAATACATATGCACGCCCACACCTTGAGGTTCACAACGTCTCCTCAAAAGAGACATAAATCTCTTGAATCGAGTGCAAAGACGAGCAGCGTAACAAAACAGATTATAGCCAGCGCAAAGAAATCAATCGTTCAGTAAATCTCCTTCGTTGAGTTTTATAATATTTGTTTACACGTTTCAAAACTACTTTAAAATCTATCCGCGGTGAGGTCATAAACAGTGGATTAGTGACCTCTATACGGAACCCAGTAATAGAGTTGTTGGGTTAACGTGAGTTGATCTAATGGGCTCCAGTCAAACACAAATTACTCCGTCGATTAATATCGAATCTGTAATTTCCCGCCTGACATCTCTATAGTAAGTACTATTTTAAAACATTAGGTTCGAAAAGATAGTAAACAGTTGGGTCTTCAGAAAAAGTTATTTATTAGAACTAAGCTTAGTTGAACCCTTCGTTAATACCTCTCCATATGGCCACTGAAATTTTTTCATTGAATAAATTATCTCGTGTGTATATCTAACCAATTATTAAGCTAAATTATCTATTGGTTTACTTAGTTCTGAGATCTTATTCATATTAGCATTAGAATTTTCTCCTTACTATTCTGCACACTACAACTATATGATCTCCGGTCTGGTAATGTGATAGCTGCTGGTATCCAGGACCCCTACTCCCCTGAAACAAACATTTTCATTCAAATCACGGGACATACAAACTGCCAACTGACTAGAATTAGAGAGTCGAGTGGCTAAACCCCCATTCTTTGGACACTACCAAATACCTAGAACCGTACCGGAAGAACTAAAATCGGGCTCAAAGAAATCAATTGGTTTATACTAGCACGTGAGAAAGATATCGGATATTAAAACCCGTATATTCGCACTCACAACTCATTTGTATTTGTGGAACATCATCGTTATTCAACCAAAAATTTCTTTTGATTCCCATGTTACTTCCTGCTAGCTTGATGACTAAGTAATTTTCTCTCAAGGCCATCAAAACTGCTGGTTAGGTTCTTTCGAGCGCCATACAGGTATTCGTGAGGCTTCGTTAAATGATGCTCGGTGACAAAATTGCGGAAAACTTTTGGTCCTATGTTATTTAAGAGTTAACAACTCCAAAGTTAACTTGTCGTTACTACTAGTACGACCGAATAACCACTGCTTGGTATATTCGTTATCTCAGTACCTAACTACTTTTGTTTATTGATAAATATCCATTAGAGCATTTGATTTCAGTAGTTTTGATTTTCATGTGTAATCTCACATCAAGGTAGTCGAACGTTTGGTATGTCTTGTACGGGTCTTAGTGATACGGTGGTTAGATACCTGAAGCTTCGTAATAACAATGCCCTTAAAACTAATCAAGATGCATATCTGGGTAAGGTTGTATTGTTCATAGTTCAGTGCTTCACTGGGTCCTGGCATTTAGATATGCTTTCAAGCTCCATAAACAGCATGTTATTTTGACAGAACGATTTTTAGGACTTCATGACAGTTACTTAAAAGTACCAAACGAACACGTCATGCTACTAGAAGCGCTATACAAACGTGTTAACTGATTTAGAAGTTTGTCATGGCTTGCTATGTAGAGGAGGAATAATATTCTTGTAAGGTGCATACAAAATGATATTGGTTATGGAAATGCATTAATGGGTAACTGCCTCTTATGTTTTAGTGGTTGACCGCCTTCCCAGAAACATTGTAGTCAACTCCAAAAATATGAACGACTTGGTAACGTTGCACAAAGTATTCTAGAGATCCTGAGGAAAAACATAAGTTACCTGTTATACGTACTCATGAAATATGGGATAACGGTTCTAGTTTAGAATTAACTTAAATCTAGTTAAATCAAATCTATCCTCTAGTGCTAACAATTCGCAACCTGTGGTTGACACTGCTCATTATTCTTAATACTTACTTTTTAGGAATTCAAACCAAACGAATATACTTTCATCATCTGTAACTAAGAAATTGGTTTTTCACTTCCGTTACACGAAAACTGGATATTGGATTTGTGGACATCATATTTGTTGTTTGACACAATGGATAAAAAGAAGCTTGATTTTTACTTCACTCTCCTCGAATCTAGCATCTTGTGTTACCAGGTAATTTTTTATGTTTTGGATTTCAATGTTTTTCTTAGCACTCTATAACTGGACTAATACCATCTTCTCCAAGGAGCTCACATGCGTGGGTCAGGGACAACACGTACGCTTCATTATCTATCTGGGGCCTTTCTTTGGTGTATAGGAAATTACCAGATGTTGATGAGGATCGTTGTCGAAGTTATGAGTTGGAAAAGGTACTCTTTATTAGTCTCAAATGTTCTCCTAGTGTGTAGTGAAGTTAATGCGTGGAATACTCATCTGCTATATGAAGCAGTCAGACAAAGTAGAACTACTGAAGAAGACTCAAAATCCCATTCATTCTTTGCATGCAAAGTTTGACAGTACTTCATATAAGACTGTTGTCGGTGATCTTGAATGGGGTCATTTGCAAATTGACGCAATATCTGTCTTTCTTCTCATTCTCGCTCAAATGACAGCTGCCGGTAATTTTTATGAAGTGACTTTATTTTTTTTCAGGTTTGCGCATAATTTGGACCCTTGAAGAAGTAGCTTTTATTCAGAATCTAGTTTTCTGCATTGAACATGCCTATCGCATTCCCGTAAGGAAATATATTTTGACATAAAAAATTCACAGGATTACGGGATTTGGGAACGTGGAGATAAAACCAATCATGGGCTCCCAGAACTTAACACAACATCTGTTGGGATGGCTAAAGTGAGAAACGTCTGCTAGTGGCTTGATTTTTGTATTTATGGGCTAAAATTTTGGATTCAGCGTTCATGTGATCCTTCCATTTAATGTTCTAGAAATCATTTGCTTTTTAGGGAGATTGATCACATGGTATTCTATGATAAGAAATTTCCGTTAAAAAATCATCACTTTGTAGTCCTGCTCGAAAATCGAAATTTAGGACAACCAAACATCAACAGTTACATTCTTATCGTTGCTGGAGATCACAACAAATCTGCGCTTTATTTTTGTAATGTGATGGGTTCTCTGCATGGCTTATGAATTAATGTTCCTTTGTATTTCTGTATTTGTTCTCTCTGTGTTTGCCTGACACTTCCTCTTTGTCTTTTAGTTTTATGAGACATCATTACCACAGTGAACCAGTAAATATATCTAGCTTGATCTCACGTTATTATTTAACCTGTACTAAAGACAAAAACATTCCTTCGACCTTCAAAATAATTGTATGGTAGACAAGTAACAATACTCTTGGATCTACTAAAAATGTATGTATACAGTTTTAGTAAATGACATGACGTGACAGAAACTGTCATAACTACTCTTCTGATTTACTTAAGCGCCAGAAAACTTTGGCCCAATTTAAGCACTGAATTGTTTATCTTCTTGTTTCAGTTTCGAGCACCAATGTATCTGCTTCAATCTGACAAGGCTTTCACACAGCAAGCATGTTTCAAAATAAGGTTCTTAAACTTATGCATGGTTCACAAACCAAAATAAAATTCTGTTGTCATACAAAAATAGTGGCTATTTCTGTCATTTAGTTATCGTTTCTATTGATAATGTCATTGTAAATGCTTTCCATTATGATTCAGACAAGTGTCTTCAGCTGGTAGCCCAAAAACAAGTTGGTCATTTGATTCGTTGCCTGATCTTTATAGAAAGCACAATTTGGTGAAGGACGGATTCTAGCTACAATGATTCCTATCCGCTAAAATGTATTACGGTTTAAAAATCGATCCTATGAGTTCAGTACTCCTTTTTTACGTTAAGGTTTTGTTTGTTTAAGTATTATTGTGCTCGTGTGTTTTATTTTTATAATTTGTTTTTCGTGCCTAAGGATTCACTGTCAAATATATTTTGCTGCTATTTTGTTGTGTGTTGTGACCTAATTGATATTCTACTCAATAATCATATTACTTTTGACTAGGTTTCTGCTGTTTTACTTTGAGTGTTTGGGATCATTGGCTTAAATTTAGTTACTAAGTATATACATATCCTTCTAATTTCAGGCAGCTTTGGAGGCTCTTACAGACTTAGATTTGTTTGGTGCGGATGGGAGCTATCTGTCAACAATTCGCGTTTCTCTTGATGAATGTGAACAGTGTAATATAGCTGTTAAAAGTATGCTTCCTCGCGAGTCAAACTCCAAAGAGACTGATGCTGGATTATTAAGTATACTAACATATCCTGGATTTTCTGTCACAGACGATGAATTAATTGAAAGTACACGTAGCTCAATCATTCGAAAGCTTTTGGGGAGGTTAGTGTTCGTTTTAGATGATGATAATCATTTATGTGTGTAGTTTTATGTGAGCAAATAAGTGGGATGCATTCCACAAGATATTTGAGATTTACCTAATTAGATAAAAGCTTAACATGTCAACATTGCGGCAGATATTAATAGATCGGCAATAACTTACAGCAATTATGGTCGTTTTACTTATGTCAAGGCGTGAACTATCGGCTTGTATGAAGTTAGACTATCTACAGTTGTGGAACATGAGTCACAAGGCTAGAAGGATTGAAAAACTTAAATTCAATTTTAGTTATCCTTGAAGCATGGAGAAGTCACGAAGAAAGTTGTTGAGGTTAGTTACAAAGTTTGATGTAAATGTGCAAACTAGTTGATTATGTGATCTTGTATTGACTGAGGTGATTGAGCTATCTTCTCACTAACCCTTTTATGAGAATGATTCTTGCGTGATTATACTGAAATGAGACGTAGAGTTGCCTCATTATTGAATTTCACTTGAAACGAACAGATAATCTCAAGTTCACAGTTATATTAAGTCTCTTCTGTAACCTTTTCTCTTATTTTACACAGATTTACACTATCCATTGAATTTTGCGTTGTTTATTCAGTTTATGAGTTCAAGTTGCCATACCAAATTAGCACAGAGATGCACTTGTCAATTCAAATCCCATATCAGCATAGGCAGTAAAACCATTAGCAGTGGTCGGAAATTTTAGGATTCGACGATGTTATTCAAGAAGTAGAATCTAGTGAAATAAACTTAGAAAGAAAAAGAAAAAGTGGTGAGGAATGAATAAGTTTAGGATTTGAGAGAGAACAAAGAGTGAATGCACCTGCGCCATCGTAAACAGTTTTGAGCAATCCCGAACATGCTTGCATTGTTGGTTAGGTTAGTCAGAAGACTGCATTTCGTCAGCGTCTTAACCGTATAGAACTGTCATCGGTATATTCTAAGTCAACTAATGAATCTCCTGGTAGAAGGTCTACTCCTGAAAATCCATACGAAGATAATGTTACATCTAGAAGCATGTCTATGAGAAAGTTGAACAAGAATTGAGAAAGTGGACATCCCTGACTTAATGTTCGCCATAAGCTCTAACTCGACCTGTAGTGTTCGAGTAGAGAGGTTTTGTAAGGTAATGTACTTCTCCGGTACACGTTTTGATGACAGACACTGCCACAGAATCTCACGATCCACAGAGTCGAAGGCTGCTTTAAGGTCCAGGAAGATAACCATTGTTGGTCGCTTAAGTGTGTGTCTGTGTTCCAGTTCCTATCTTAGTGTGAAAATGTGGTCTATACAGCCACGTTCAGGTCTGAAATCAGCCTGGTTTTCTCGAGTCTGCTCTTCACGAGCTTTAGTTAGGCGTCTAATGATAATCGAGACTAACAATTTAGAAACTAGATTAGTTAGACTTATTCCCCCTGTGATTGTCTCAAGTAAACTTTTGTCCTTTCTTATAAATTGGGACAACTAGTGATTGAGACTAGTCGGATGGGATAACGTTCAGTTCCTAAATTCTACCTAAGATCTCAGTCAATCTAGCTGCTAAAACTGGACCATTATCCTTAAAAATCTCAGCAGTCAATCTATCAGGACCTACCGCTCTCCCTCGCTTCAAATTTCCCATAGCTTTCGCAACTTCATAAAGAGTCGGGGGAGTTACGTTGATGCATTCTAGTACATTTCTGAGTTTCATAAATGTAGAACTGTTTTTTATATGTTGAAAAAGTACATTATGTTCACATAAGTTCATTTCTGTCTACTAACTTATCAATATACAGGGTATATCGCTTTTATTCGTTTGGTAAATTGTTTAACTCAGATTATTATATTCTGGAATTATTTTCTCAAGTGTAAAGGTTTATTTAAGTTGCACTATGACTTAGATTCCCTCCCCTAACAATGTATTTACAATCGGTTAAATCTCACGTTTTCGTGCAAATTTGGTGCTAGATATGGTTGTCGACGATTTTTGCGTGATGGATTTCGTACTGCCAGAGAAGATGTGAATCGTCTGTATTACGAGCCTTGGGAGTTACGTATGTTTGACGGTATTGAATGTGAATGGCCAATGTTTTTTGCATGGCTTGTGATTGATGCAACTTTTCGCGAAGATTTTGACGATGCAGATCGATATATGCAAATGCTTCAAGAAGTTGTTATCCCAGAGGTAATTGATTTTACTAGCATGAGTGGTTCATGTATATTATCGAGCTTCATATTCACTTATAACACACTGACATTAGTTAGACGACCACTGGAAAGCAGAGAGCACTAGACAGTTTCGTCGTCCTAGTATGGTGCTTCTCTGCAGTGCTCATTCGCAACCACACTGGGGTTTTCACATAAGACTTTCAGGTCCATAGGCGTGTACTAAAACCTATAGATTACTGGGCTAACATTTAATAGTTTACTTGTTTAATTTTAATCACTGGTTGTTGCCCTTATAGTCTAAAAACTGACCACTCACAGTAGACCTCATGGTCGTAGGACTAATTGTCGACCGGTTCGTTGATGTACTTTCGAGTTCGTTATGCACTAAAACAAAAAAATTATCCAGTGCTCTCTAGTTTTCAGTGTTCGTTTAAATAAGATCAGTTTGCAATGCAAACTGCAATTGCTTTTGTGTACAAGGATTTCAGTAAAATTTAGGGTGTTTCGTTGTCATTACGTAGTAATATTAGCTGTGTTGCACTTCCTAAGTTTAATAATTTCTTCGTGCACTTTGTATCAGTCAATGATCTTGTTTATAAATATAACTATAATATCAGTTTCACGACTGAAACACTGTCTTCAGAGAATACAGCAATATTGGAAACACTGTATGTATAAGTCCCTTCGAGTATCTCAAATTTAATTCAATACAATTTCTTACGAAATTTTCTAGTCTAACATATCTATATCATATTATCTGATAACGTATTCCACTAGGCTTTTGTACACCTATGTATTTATGTATAAACTAATTATACTCAGAGGTATGTTTTCGCACGTTCAATTAACCGCAAAATTCTCCGTACTCCGTTTTAATGGTTTTGAAGCTGCCTTGAGGCAGACAAAGATAGTTTGTATGAAGCCAGATGTTTACTCGTTCGCGACGCGTTTACGTGCTCAGCAGAACTAGCTCTAATTGCTGCGTTACTTGAAATAAATTATCAGTATATATATATATATATATATATATATATATATATAATAGGAAACTTGTTTCATCATCAACAGCAACCTGAACTTTGCCATACCACACTGGCACAGAGATATAATTATCAATTCAAATCCCATAGTAGTAGATGTAGTAAAAGTATTAGAAGTAATCGGAGAGATTAGGATTAGAAGATGTTATTCAAGAAGTATAATTCAGTGAGGTAAATTTAGAAAGGGTAAGATAAAGGTGATTAGGAATTCAGAAGGTTAGAATTTCGTCGAACACAAAGAATGTATGCACCTGCGCAATTGCAAACAGTTTTGAGCCATGTCATTCAAGATCTCTAACCATCAACCACTGTCATCTCGCGGACCCCAACTTGGTAGTCTACGTCTACCAACATGACTCAGTCTAGTTGTCAGTGACTTCATGGATTTATGCCATGTTTTGGTGTGGCTGCCCCTAGCTTTCTTCAACCTACCCCTACATAACAAAACATTGCTCCTCCGGGCAGTCGGTGATTGAAAATACGTAACGCATGTCTCAATCACCTCAACTGATGAAGTTTCAACACTTCAACTATTGACCTGCCATCCATACCTAGGACCCGTTTCCCAGGATACACGAGCAATGCTTCGGAGACACCTATGATCGAAAACAAATAACCTACGAATATCTTCTACTCTTACTGGCCATGTTTCACAGCCATAGTATAGGGGGGAGCGAACTACTGCGCAGTAGATTCGTCCTTGATTCAGAAACCGGATATCTCGCCTTCGCCATAAATGACGCAAGTCGGCATAAGCCAATCCAGGCTTCCGTATATGTGCTAAGATTTCGTCAGTCACCAGGCCATCAGCACTGATGAGACTCCCGAGTTAAGTGAAGCGGTCAACACTTTCAACTGCTTCACTCCCTATCACTAGTTCAGGTACCGATGCAACCCAGTCTTGAAGCAACATTTCGCATTTCGAGGGTGAGAACCGCGTCCGGAACATGCTTGCATTGTCGCTTAGGTTAGTCGGAAGACTGCATTTCGTCAGCGTCTTAACCAAATAGAACTATGTCATCGGCATATTCTAAGTCAATAAGCGAGCCTTCAGCATAGCCTCTACACCGATGGCTTATAGCGATGTGATCTAGTTGGGTCGGCATTGGGGGTCGCCGGGTCAAAAGGTGTTTTACCTTATGCTTAAAATTAGTGTTTGCTAGGAATAGGCGGTTATCTGAACGTAACTGCAGCAGACGGTCGCTATTATCTGTCCTATTAGCGTGAAACCATAAGATCCACCCAGGTGTCTTCGTTTTTCGCTGAGTCTACCTACTTGAGCATTACAGTCACCAGTCATTATTACTATATCAGAGCGCTTAACATTTTGGAGAAGTTTAGAGAGGTTTCTATAAAACTTATGTTTTATGTCGTCTGAACTTCAGTCAGTGGGAGCGTAGGCAGATACGACGAAGAGGCAACGGCGAGTGTCCGTATCCTTCCGAGTCCTTACCATCCCGTTTAGTAGGACAGTGCATAAGCGACTGTCTATCGGGATCCAGTCTAAGAGAGCTAGTTCTACTCTAGGATATAATACTATACATACGCCGGCGAGACCACGAGAAGCGGCATCAAGGCTTCCAGAAGCACGAAGCGTAAACCTTGGTGTGTCTATACCTGCACTAGGTGAGATCAAATTGGTGATTTTACTCGGATCTTGTTTGCGCGTTTCGGAGACGCAATATTCATCGATCGCCCGGGATTCCAGAGTTCTAGCCAGAGAAGCCTGTTGCCCTATTTGGCATAGGGGTTTCAAGAGACCATGAATAATGTTTCGTGAGCTCGTACCGTTTGCTTCAGTGGCGTGAGGTGATAAACGATCGAAAAAAGGGTTGGTTGAGGAGATAAGAGAGTTATTAGGAGGTGTAGAAAGGATTTGATTGTGATCAATTTGGTCTCGTGTACTCTTATGCGTATGAGGGTGGATGTTACTCTGGGAAACGTATTCTTCCAAATGGTATTCCGTATGCAATGCATATTTTCTGAATAGCCTTTTACAGTCAACATTGGAGATTGTACATTGAATTCAACTGTAAAAATCATTTAAAAATTTAATTTCAGTCTAATTACTTCTATATTATTGATCATTGTTTTCATCTCGACTGAATTCTGAATTTATCTCATTTGCTGTAGGGTAATCTTGACAGGTTTGATCACTCCCAAATCTAACTAAATCAACAAATTTCTTTCACTGACAACAACAACAACAAATAAGCCCATTAATCTCTGTTGTTAGTTTTACTGTCATGCGTATAACCTTAGTATGATTTGCCATTTATAAATAGTGTCATAATTCATTTTATTTGTTATTTCTGGTCAATTCTTTTTATATCAAAGTTCAAGCTCAAAAATATAGTCACTTTCATAAAAATATTTGTAAATCACATTAACTGCATAACAATAAGATCTCCACTTGGTAGACAATTCGTTTATTTTCCCTTCTTGTATTCAGTTTACATATTACATAATCTTATTAGATAGGCATGAAAATTGAGCTACGGTGTTAATTCCTCATAAACTAGGTTGTTGAGTAGAGTACTAATAATCCCAAAATGATACCCTAGTCTCTTAATCACTGGGTCCTAGGATAAAAGCCCCGTTTTCCCAACTTCTATTTGGGTAACCTGATACTATTGTTATTAACGCCAAGGTGTGCCTCAACATCGAGTCTCTAGTTACCTAGTTTCATCGAACAAATTATTGATCGATATTTGGGTTGAATTAATGTTGTGAAAACTTTTGCGTACAATTTCACCTCTCTATAAATGTTGAACTAGCCTAAATCAGGTATGATAATACTGTGAAAACTTTTTATCATTCATTTCAGTCATCTTCTTCGTTTGCACCTTCAAACAGTAGTAGAAATGCAAGTCGTAGACCAAGTGAAGTATTAACACAAATTCCTAGTAGGACATGTTGTTATGTACCGGAATCCTATTCATTACCTACAGAAGCAATCGATGCAGAAATTGCTCATCCACATACACAAACACGTGTTCCAGTTGGTGCATTACCACATATATGGGGTCAATCATTATATATACTGGCAAGTATTATCTATGAAGGTCTTCTATTGCCTGGAGAAATAGATCCTCTTGGAAGGCGTATGGTGTGTGACATAGTTAATTGTTTTTTACAAATAAGTCTTCTCATTTTCATTTATATGATTATACTACAATTGAATCTAATACTCTAAAATAATTCATATTATGAGTGAATTTTTTACTTTACTAAAGTCAGTAAAGTAATTCAAAGTCTAATGAACTAAATACAAGTTTATAAAGTAAAATTTGGGATAAAATCCTTTTTGGAACTTACTGTGCAGATCAACTGACTGAAATGGATTTCTATTCTTTGTTGAATTACTCTAATATGGTCACGCGTTTATAACCTTTTTGGAGGAGAGTTCTATTCACTGCCATCACTGAATCGGAATCTTTTCAACAAATTCGGAAGGACGTAAACCGAACGTGCTTAAATCGGGCTAGAAGGTATAATAGGTTCCTGTAGAGGGAGTTGAAAAACCAGACTTCTCAGTAAATAGTGCACACATGTTCCAGGATCCCAAATAAACAAGTGACATGTAAACCTAGTTTGATCACAGGGTATTACGTGACCACATCTTATGCTGCCTCATTCTCTTCTAGAATAGAGTGTTAAATCAGATGCTGAAGGAATGATATCTTAAGAATGTCACCTGGTTCACGTTGGCATTGATATTTTGAAATGTTCAAATAAACTGCAGATTACAACCATGCAGTGGGAACAAAAATTCTGTCTAATTATCAATTACTTTGGATGAATGCAAATCATTACGCATTCAGTTGATGAGATCACATATTAAACTGATCAAAGTGCTGCTGCATATGCCAAAATCTGAATCATGATCACAAAGCACAAAATCAATCAAGTACAGCTAAAAAACGTTCTATCATTGAGGCAAATCCAGAACATTCGCTTATCGATTTAGAAGACGTTGACAATATGCAAAATCTTTTAATCGCCTTGAACAACCCTGCTAACATGCTTGAAATGCGTTCGTCTTCCTTCAGATGCAAATATTTTTTGCAGGACTGGTCTACATCAACACCTGAACTAGTGATAAGAAGTGAAGTAGTTGAATGCGTAAACCACTTCACTTATTTTGAAAGCCTCATCAACTCTGTTGGATTCGTGTCTGATGAAATTTCGGTTCAGATTACGGTAGCTCACGTGTCTGCATTCAAATCTTGTTACTTGTAGTGTAAAAAGCTGTCCGTCTACCAACCGAACGGTGTGTATGCTGTTAGAATATACAGACTATCTGGTTAGGGTCTACGTGATAGTTGTGATATGCTGTTGGAGACTTTGGATGACGTGACTGAAAATCTTTTACCACGGTGCAGATGTATTCACTCTATCCTCTTCTCGACCATGAATTCCGGTGTTCCCCCATACATGCTTCTCAATTTTGTGTTTCCAAACTATGGTCCCTAAGTTTAGTCTTCGTTTTTGTCATTGCTATCACATTGTTTCGATCTCTTTTGTTACTTGCACTTCGTTGACGACTTGGGCCAACGTACGTGTACCAGGCTCCAAGTTAATACTACAAGTCTGTCTCTCTGGATCTTGAGGAAGCTGAAATTTCTCCTCATTGAATTTAAATCCGAATCACTTAGCTTCACAACCTGAGGCCATAACTGACCTGAAATTACTCTGAAATTCTGTTCTCTTAGTTATTTTTGATTCTTTTTCACTGTATTTATTTAACATCGTTTTTTGTCTTACTAAAGGTTACTGAACCGAAACCAGATTTATCAGTGCAGGTTGTACTTGTAGCAGAAGATAACGAGATTAAGCAGCAATTAATGGAATATCAAGTTGAAGTACAAACATTCGAAGAAATTTATAATGAAGCCGGAATAAATATTTATCCAGCTAAAATTCTCGGTCAACTTTATCGACATTTAGGTAAATCTTGATAATTCTTATCGCAATGATTATATGTTGTTGTTGCTGTAAAACTAGTTTTTATGTGAAATACAAAATAATCTATGTATTATCATTCTACTTATTATCATAATATTGTCTGTTAGAAAAGAAAGCTACAATTACCTCATTTAGTCATTTATTTTCAAAGAACTCATTATATTTTTACCTTTATGTTGTAGTCAGTACCAGAATAATGCTGTAACTACAAGGTTCAGTGAGTTTTCTAGGTAGCATGTCTTCCATTGTTACACAAAATGTATGCAATGCGAAATTTTTTACAAGTAAAAACTTGAAATGTAGAATCTGACCTCTCAGTTATTCCACAAAGCTGACTAGTTCTAAATAAGATGCAATAGGTGTCCTGAATTCGTCTGTCCAACTCCACGAAAACTTGTTATTAAAGGTACTATCGAGACAAAGATACGCATGATACAGAAATAATGCTTTATACTACTCAAATACAGTTAATATCAACAACGTAACGCCTCCAAGCCTTTTCATACATCTTTCCATGGGCGTCATCGTTGTGTACAGTTTTCTTCCTGTAAGTCTTTTTCTGCCTTATTGGGTCGGTTTTTCTTTGTCCACTGATATTTACGGTTCATTACGGGTCTATAGCAACCGCAGAATTAAGAACTATTTAGCTACTGTGGTACGATTCGTTTCATTGTTCAGATCGGTGACGACAACTAGCACACAACACCTGATTGCCAACACTGGAAGATTTGTAGAAAAATTTAACATTCAAAATGGAATAAGCAAAACAAAATCAAAACGTTAAACTCCGTACATACAGAAACGAAGACGTAACCTTCAAGCATACAGACGACATTTAATAAACGGAAAGCTTTGATAACCATTCTGAGAAAGGCAAATATCATGCCAACAATTGAATTAGAAAAACGGAACTTAAAGTTATCATTTTTATCAAGATTTGTTAAGAAAATTTAAGTGACCTTGTAATTGCTTAAGTAAGCTATGACTGATTGATTCAGTTCCTCAACTTTAAGCTAGGCATATTAATGGTTGCAACATCATAATCATCTGCCTCTACTTAGTATCACTAGCTATCATATAATGAGTGTAACTCGTTGTCCAGTATACAAACCTGAATGAAATAGTTGATTTATTGCTGTTCTTCAAGTTTGATTCTCATCCTACCACTATCACAATAAACTTACATTTATTAGTTCGTTGTCGACATTTGATTCCTCTTATTTGTAAAAATGTTATACGATGCATTTTAAAGTTGTTAGTTTTCATCATAGAGTTATGGAGAAAGTTGTTTATTATTGAGATTAAGAATCAATCATTGTTTGGCCACCATTAGAAACCTGGACGCACTAGACGGCTGTTTTGTCCTGGTATGAGACTCATCAGCAGTGCGCATCCACGACTCTTGCTACCCGCAGGATTCGAACCAAGGGCATTCGGTCCTGCGTGCGAACGCCTTCTCTTTGGACCACTGAGCCAGCATCTAGCGGTCTTAATGTCTAACTCTGATCAATCTCAGGTTTTGCGCAACCTCACCCATTGTCTTCGGTAGGTATTTACCTCACACCCGACAAGGTTGAACTTCACTGGTCACGACTTCTCACATGAAACCCTAGGAGTTTCCTTATGAAGCTCGTCACTAGTTAAATCATTTTGTGAACGCGCACTGCCAAAGAGTCCCATACTAGGACTAGGTTTCTAATGCTGATCTAACGATCGTTGATTCATGGTTTCATAAATTCTTAGTTGTTGGATGTCTTTTTTTGGCAAAATTTTCCCACTCCATTTGACATTTGGTACAGATAAATAATTGTACAATAATTCCATAATCATTAACTATTATAGCAAAACAAACTTCCCATGAAGTACAATATAATTATTCCATTCTATTTGTTTACTTTAAGTAATTTCTCATCGAAACTTGTGTACTTTTTGAAAGTTTTTATTTTTAAAATTATTTCATCATTGCGATCATCAACAGAAATACCTCATCAATCATTATTTATCTACCTAACTGTGTATCTCAAATTCAGCGGTGAATCAATTTAAAAAAAAAACATTTACTTCAAAGATTTATAAGTATGTGAACATTCAATTCTAATTTATGAATTCATCATTGATACATTTGTTCTATTAATCATTTATTAGGTGCTTGTGAAAAGCTTTCTCTAAGTGGTCGTTCCACTGGTGAAGTAGGAATATTTTCAACAAGTCAATTTTATCGACTAGGTGATGAAACATTGGCTTTTCTTCCTCAGGTTAGCTAAATATTTTGGTGTGTAATTTTTTAATTTTAAAACGAATTAAATGTATCAACATGCTTGTTTGTACTTTGCAATGAAATTTTTTAAATCATTATCATCACGCTTAAACTTCAGTTCTTGTCGACTTCTATCGTCAACTAGCTGGACAATGTTATTCAACCGTGTATTTTTTTAGCATATGGTGAGACAGCTTGCCATTTTCAGTAATTTTGTGTGTAAGTTACGTACTGAAGGTTGTTTGATATCCAAACAGCTCATTGGTGGCGTTCCTGATTATGATAGAGCTCATATTCGACAAGAATCACCAGTTTCCTCAATATTACCAATATGTTTTGCTGTTCAAGGTTTCCTGTGAATAGCTTCCGATCATCTGACTGTTGGGGATATTAGATCCCCAGAACTCGTTTGATAAATCTCTTTATTTTGGATTTTTTCATGGACTAATCGGTTGACCTTGAGATTACATTTCCCGCCAGCAAAATCCTTGGCTGTGATTGGTTACTGTGTCATTTTAGTGTGCTATTTTTGTGGTTGTCACAAGGACGTCTCTGTAGAGTATAAATAAACGCAATTTGAGTGCTTGGATTCATTGTGTGCTGGCTAGGTGTTTGTAGAATACAATTTCTACACTATATCAAGACTTCTTGCTGGTACAATTTGGTCAAAGGATCACAGTAGCCTACCTGGACTCTGGTTGATTGTTTTGTTCTCGTTATTCGACTAAGGTGAACCCGTACTAGTTTAAGCATACCTAGAGACAAGCGTAACACTGACATAATTAGCTGAAGGCATCATGTCATTCCATGCACTTACAATACCCGACCATAAAACACTGAAATGCTTTTGACATGTTAATACTACAAGTTACTGACAGTATTTTACTAAACTACTTAAATTTAACTTCACACGATAAACAACAATTATTAAGCATTGAATATTGTTTGATGCACTAAAAAATTATCGATAATCAATCAAAATGTCACTGAAATAATCTGACAGTCTGAATGCTTCTTAATTAAACCTCAATGAATTAAATGTTTATGACATTTTGATAATTTCGCGTTTTTGATAGAACAGTGAGAAGATGTAATTGATCTGAAAAATGTAATGTATTTGCGCTATACATTTCGAACAATCTGGTCACACTTGTCAAGGCATTTTATATGAAGATTAATAAAAGGTCAATTGAACAAAAGTTCAAATAGACGTACGGTGATAATTGTAAATGAAGGAGAGAGAAAATTAATCTTATTAATCTTCATATAAAACTCTTTGACAAGTATATGTGTGACCAGATTGTTTGAAATATATAGCGCAAATACATTACATTTTTCAGATCAATTACATCTTCTCACTGTTCTATCAAAATTTATAAAAGGGACCAACTGTTTTAAAGTTCACGTGTACTAAACTGAATCGGTTTCCTTTTAGACAATATCATCAGTGCAAACTGTAAAAAGATACGATAAGTTATGTTGGGGATGTTAGATCCCCAAAATTCGCTTGATAATGCCGTATTTCGGTTTTCACGTTCGCCAGCAGGGGCTGATCAAATGACCTTGAGATTTCAATTCCCACCAGGAAAATCAATGGCTGTGATTGGCTACAGTGTATTTTAGTATGCTATTTTCTTAACTGTCTCAAGGACGTTGTTATGTTGTATAAATAAACGAGAGTTGTATGCTTGATTGTACTGGGATTGCTGGGTGCTTGTAGAATATACTTCTACGCCTACAAAGTCTTCTATTTCGATTCTGGGATTCAGGGTAGCCTTCCTGGAAGCTGGTAAAAGTCTCGTTCGCGTTTATCGACTAAGGTAACTCGTAATAGCCTCAAGCATCCTAAGTGACGAACATATCAGTGGCGACGGGGCTCACAATTCACAATGTCAATTAATCTTGAACAGTTAGAATCTTTACTGGAACGTCAAGGTAAACGATATGAACAGTTCCAGGAACGTATGTTGGAGCTGTTAATGAAACAAATGAATTTGAATCACAGAGGTTTTGCCGATGATTCATATAATCCGCATACAGACTCGATAGTTAATTCCATTCATGAATTTCATTTTGATGGCCTTGCTGGTGTGACTTTCGAGTCTTGGTTTAAGAAGTATGAGGATTTGTTCAAGGTCGACCTCAACAATCTTGATGACGCCACCAAAGTCAGAATCCTTTTGAGAAAGCTCGGCACAATCGAACACGAACGTTATAGTAATTTCATCCTCCCAAAGAACCCACGAGATTTCTCTTTTGATGCTACAATTGATACGCTGTCGCAAATCTTCTCTGAACAGTCATCTCTCTTTAATATTCGTTATCAATGCCTCAAAATAATCAAGTCAAATGAAGATGACTGGGTAAAGCATGCTGGCTTAGTAAATCGTGAATGTGAACGATTTAAATTATCATCAATGACGGAAGATCAGTTTAAGTGCCTTGTGTTTGTGTGCAGCTTACAATCTCCCGACGATGCTGATATAAGAACCAGAATCCTAAGTAAAATTGAACAGTGCCCAAACATCTCGCTTCAAGAAATAACTGCAGAGTGCCAGAGATTAGTAAACTTGAAGCATGATACCTCCATGGTCGAAAACAAGGGCCTCTCATCATACGTGCATTCCATTAGTGAAAAGAAAAATTCCAATTCGGCCCAAAAACCCAAAATGAATCCACCTTCTGCTTGCTGGCACTGCGGTTCATGGCACTATGTACGGAACTGCCCATTTAGGCAGCATAGATGCAGGAAGTGTAAAGTCATCGGTCATAAAGATGGCTTTTGCCTACAGAAAAAGCCAAAGCGATCTAGAAGTGCTAAGAAGCCTGTTCCTAGATCCAGTACCAATGCATTGAGCCTAATATCTTCCTGCCAAAGCTCATCACCAGGTGAGAGGAAATTTATTACTCTTAATATTAACGGTTATTTGTGTAGAATGCAAATAGATACTGCATCTGATGTCACTATCCTCTCACGCAAAAATTGGACCAAATTGGGCAGCCCAAGCCTGCAGCACACAACACAAAAGCCTCGTACAGCATGTGGTAATTATCTTCGTCTGTTAGGACAATTGGAATGTAAAGTTGCTTTCCGAGATTCGTCGTTTACTGGGGTATGCTATATAACGCCAGCTGATCTAAATTTACTTGGTTTAGATTGGTTCGACCAGCTAAAATTGGCTGATGTCCCGCTAAATACCATATGCAGCCTGGTATCACAACGACATGACCCAGAAGCGTATACGAAGAAGCTGATGACAGAGTTTTCAACCATTTTTGAACCTGGATTAGGTCGGTGCACTGCTATGAAAGCAACACTTCGGTTGAAACATGGGGCTAAGCCTGCTTTTCGTCCAAAGAGACCTGTACCGTATGCTACATTAGCAACAGTAGATGAAGAGCTGGATCGCCTTCAACGACAAGGAGTTATTACTCCCGTTTCTTACTCCAGTTGGGCAGCACCTATAGTCGTTATCAAGAAGGCCAACGGCACGATACGCATATGTGCTGACTTCTCTACAGGTCTCAACGCAGCTCTAGAACAGCATCATTATCCTCTGCCAGTCCCAGCAGATCTGTTCACTATGCTGAATGGGGGAAAGTTCTTCGCAAAGCTTGACCTAGCTGATGCTTATTTGCAAGTGGAAGTCGATGAAGCATCTAAAGAGCTGCTTACTATCAACACTCATCGTGGTTTGTTCCAGTATAACCGTCTACCTTTTGGAGTTAAGACTGCCCCATCTATCTTCCAACAACTAATGGATACTATCCTGTCAGATATCGCAGGGGTTGCAGCTTATCTCGATGATATCTTGATTGTTGCGAAGACGTTAGAACAGCTACGGGAACGCACGACATTGGTACTACAACGCATCAGTGACAATGGTTTCCGGTTACGCCCAGAAAAATGCCAGTTTCTATTGCAGTCGGTAAAGTATTTGGGATTCATCTTTGATGCCGACGGTCGCAGACCGGATCCTGAAAACATCCGAGCTATCAAACTGATGCCCACTCCCACTAATGTTTCCGAATTACGATCTTTTCTCGGTTTAATCAGTTATTATTCAGCTTTTGTTCCCTCGATGCATGATATTCGCGCTCCATTGAATTGTCTACTGCAGAAGCATAGCACATGGAACTGGACTAAAGAGTGTGACGCGGCTTTTGATAAACTCAAGTCTATAATTAGCTCGGAGTTGTTATTAACACACTACGATCCATCCATGCCGATCATCGTAGCAGCAGACGCTTCAGCATATGGCCTAGGTGCTGTTATTTCACATCAGTTTCCAGACGCGTCAGAAAAAGCCGTTATACATGCATCCCGTACACTGACCCCAGCAGAAAAGAAGTATAGCCAGATAGAGAAAGAAGCTCTTGCTCTTGTGTTTGCTGTTCGCCGTTTCCATAAGTTTCTGTACGGTCGGAGATTCACGCTCCTCACAGATCACAAGCCTCTGTTAGCAATATTTGGTTCAAAGTCTGGCATTCCAGCCCATTCTGCAAATCGTCTTCAGCGATGGGCCTTGGTACTTTTGGGGTATGATTTCGAAATCCAATATCGACGCACTCTACAATTCGGTCAAGCAGACGCTCTGTCACGACTCATTAATGATCAAGTGGCGACTGATGAAAACATGGTGATCGCATCTCTGTCAGTAGAAGACCACGCAGAATGTTATCTGACAACCGCAGTTCGCGCATTACCGGTGTCTGCAACAGACATACAAAATGCTTCTAGAAACGACCCCATCATCAAGATGACGATGAAATATGTCACTAACGGTTGGCCGTCGAAAAAGTTTGAAGGTGACATGAAGCAACTGTATCAGCGGCGGGAGTCACTATGCATCGTGAACGATTGTCTGATGTTTGGTGAAAGAGTAGTCGTGCCAGAATCCCTTCGTGCAAAAGTGCTGAGACAGTTCCATCTTGGTCATCCTGGGATTAAACGAATGAAGTCCATAGCCAGGAGTTATGCATACTGGCCTCACATGGATCAACATGTCACAGCGTTGGTTGAAAAATGCATCCGGTGTCAGCAGGCGGCAAAGATGAATGCCAAAATTCCGCCGGTTTCATGGCCCAAACCTGAGCATCCTTGGTCCAGGATACATGTCGACTTCGCTGGCCCAATAAATGGAACTATGTATTTAATTGTCGTCGACGCCTTTTCTAAATGGCCGGAAATCAGCCCCGTTATGCCGCCCACTACAACTAAGACTATACAGCTCCTAACTGAAATTTTCTCACGAAATGGCATACCAGATGTGATCGTATCCGACAATGGCTCTCAATTCACCTCTTCCCAATTCCAGAATTTCTGTCAACGGCTAGCTATTAAACACTTACGCTCGTCACCATACCACCCGCAATCGAATGGGCAGGCGGAAAGGTTTGTGGATACGTTTAAAAGAGCACTGCTCAAGTCTAAAGGGGAGGGGACGCCAGCCGAAACGTTACAAAATTTCTTGTACGTCTATCGGACAACACCAAATGAATTGTTACCGGAGCAAAAGTCCCCAGCTGAAATCCTGATGGGAAGAAGATTGAAAACGATTCACAGCCTGATGCATCCGACCAATGCACCCTCATCAGTAGAGACAAAGCAGCAAAGACAATCCGCTTACGAGGTGGGATGCCCTGTGTTTGCCCGCGACTACAGAACGAACCATGGTCCTTGGGTAGAAGCGAGAGTGGTCAGAAGGGTTGGTCGAGTTATGTACGAAGTAGAGGTAGGAGGTGATAAATGGTCACGTCATCGCAATCAGATACGCAGACGGCTAGCCCCAGATCGCCCATCAAGAGCAGAAAGCCTTCCCCTTGACATCTTGCTTGATACCTTCAACCTACCTTGAGCCCCGCCACGAGAAGAAACTCAGCAGCAAGCTGTTCTTCGTTCCCGAAGGTATCCCCTCAGACAGCGGCGAACAATAGTCAAGATGCAAGTCAACCACAGGAGAACACGCTATTAAAAAGGGGAGGAGTGTTGGGGATGTTAGATCCCCAAAATTCGCTTGATAATGCCGTATTTCGGTTTTCACGTTCGCCAGCAGGGGCTGATCAAATGACCTTGAGATTTCAATTCCCACCAGGAAAATCAATGGCTGTGATTGGCTACAGTGTATTTTAGTATGCTATTTTCTTAACTGTCTCAAGGACGTTGTTATGTTGTATAAATAAACGAGAGTTGTATGCTTGATTGTACTGGGATTGCTGGGTGCTTGTAGAATATACTTCTACGCCTACAAAGTCTTCTATTTCGATTCTGGGATTCAGGGTAGCCTTCCTGGAAGCTGGTAAAAGTCTCGTTCGCGTTTATCGACTAAGGTAACTCGTAATAGCGTCAAGCATACTAAGTGACGAACTTATCAAGTTATTAGAGAATTTTCATAATAATGCCTTGTAATCTATCTTTTATATATATCATCACTCATTATTTAAATTATAAATTAAATTTCGATTTTCATAATAAACCTCATGATGCTTATTGTAAGAAAAATATTTTATGCTAGTGTTAATTGTTATCACTTGACAATCTTGGTACGTTTTGTTAAACCCTAGGCTAGCACGATTTAACCTTGGGTTTAAGGTTTTCAGTCAGCTACAACATGGAACTTGGTACGTACATACATCAGGTCAAGTTGTCATACTACATTAGCAAAGAGATGCAATTACCTATTCAAATCCCATAGTTGTAGAGTTAGTAGAAGTATGAGTAGTAATCGGTAAGATCACGGTCCGAATCTATTATTCAAGAAGTATAATCCAGTGAGATAGTTTTGAGAAGAGAAAGATGAAGGTTATGAGGAATTTAGAAGACTAGAATTAGGGAGAACACAAAGAATGGATGCACCTGCTCCATTGCGAACAGTTTTGAGTCATGTCATTCAAGGTCTCTAACCATCGATTACTATCATCTCGCTAACCCTACCAATATGGATTAGTGCAGTTATCTGTGACTTCATGAATTTTTGCCTATGTGACAGAATAGAACAAATAATGCATAACCAAGTTACAATAATCAAGAAATAATAATACGTATAACAATAACTGAATGTAAAAAAATATAGAAACATAATAATCCAATTGCCTGATGATTATATCATGATAAACAATAGTAGTCCATAAAATAGTTCTTAGAATTCTAACTCCTATTGTCAGTAATGTAATGGGGATAGTAAGAAAATCCAATAATATCTTCTAATATATTAATTACAATAGGATTTAGCGGGCATGCTAATTATGTTAATAACTATGTACTAAAAAAATTGTATATTGGTTTTGGCTAAAGCTGATAGGTGGGCACAATTTATAAAATGAAATAAAACAGTAATGTAGGACTACCTCTTTCACAGCCTCTTCAGCTGATGACATAACTTGATCTTGATGGCTTAACATGTTATTAGACATGGTTCACAATAGCAACTAGTGACGATGGTATTCATTCCTATCGATAAGAATATAATCAATCAATATTTCTTGTGTTAAACGTCCTCCGCTGGAAACTTAGTTCAATTTGATACTGGCCAAGTTTTCTTTATATGTCAATCAAAAAGCTTTAACTTTTTTTCAGACATAAATAAGCTACAATTGACTCACTTGCTGCTACTTTTGATTGCATTACTGTTTAGTGCATACAGTTTTTATCGCTTCCCCTTTTTGTAACAGGATTTATGTTCTTCTACTGAGTGTCTTAACTCACATTTTTGAAATAGAACTTCAACGACATTGTTTACTAGTCCTGACTTTAGCCACACCACAATTCCTGTACTCGACAATTGAAGGACCCATTTAAAAAGCTTATCTGTTATTCCTCATGGACCATAAGCCGCCAACGAGCATTCTTCAACCACCTCTGTCCTGGGCCTTCGTTTCTAGTTCTATCCAACTACTGTTCATTCTTATCATGTCTACTACCGATTCTCGGCGTAATATGTTCTTCGGTCTCCCTCTTTTCCCTTGTTCTTCAAGATCCTAAGTCAGGGTTTGTCTGGAGAGGCAGTTGGGTGATTTCCGTAATGTGTGTCCTATCCACCTCCAGCGCTTTTTCCTAATTTCTTGCTCAGATGGAATCTGGTTTGTTCTCTCTCACAGTAGGTTATTGTTGATGGTGTCTGTCCCGAATCACGAAAATTTGGGAACTCTTAAACATCTGTTTAGGTGCATAGAAGGGTTTCAGTTGACGGTTAATCTATATTAGTAAGGATGAGTTTTCATTTGGATTTCGCGATTCATAGATAGGGTGACTTGTCGAGGACTTTATTCGATAAATGCAATGTTTAAAATTTGCTTGCATTTTGTGATCTTATTGTTTTCTTTTCCACAAATTATTTATTTATAAAAATGGAAGTGTCTATCATTCAGTTCCTTTTATTTTCTGAGTTTCAATATTACTTTCTACTTTTCATCCTCCTTTGTCGAATCTGGATATTTTATTTTCAATATTTTAGGATTGTATTGAACACTTTTATTACCTTAACTTGATCACTATACATCTTGTAAACTTTATCTCACCATATCTACGTGGTATGATATTTCTGTCTAACGAATGTTTTACATAATTTATTGACTTACATATTATTATTCTATGTATAACGATGATTATTCATTTCATAATCTTTAAAATTCACATTTTAGCAAAAAATGTTTGCCTATTAAATTATTCAATGAATTAATTCCGTAAGCTTATTTCCCTAAATGCTCTGTTTCTTTATTACAGTTCTTTGATCATCATGCGTTTTATTTGAATTTGGATATAGAATTTCTATTGGATTGTTTTCGAACCTGTATAGGTTATTTAAAACATGCATGGACTAGTCCTGGACGTCCTTTACTTTTATTCCCGATATATCGTCGATACTTTCGTTCAGGTAGAGGTGTTTATTAAAGTAGTTTATTGTATTTTCTTTATTAACATTTGTATTCATATAGCTTGCAAATTGAACCAATCTCTAAGAAAAAATCTTAAGCGTCAATTCACTGGTGACTTACTCCAAGATGTTCTTGGATTTCTAATAAGAATTCGTAAGTGAAGGATTTTAGTCCTTTCAGGAGTGAAACATTTGTTGCCAGTGGCGTTGGATGATTATCACGATGTCACAAATTGATTGAATTTACAAATTTTTCACTGGTCATCGATCTGATGATTTTTAGCGGTTAAGTGTTTGTTTTCGACCTGTAGCTTATGGATTTAGTCGCTGGTATGGCTGTACATGCGCACTAGGATGAATTAATTGTCCGATAATCTGTGGCTTTCGGTAGTATTCCATTGTAACAGCGTCCCTGATAATATTATTGTATTGTTCATTGTGTTCACTCTGTTCTGTCTTATGAATAAAAAAAGGTGGTCTTGAACTCCAGTATCCTTTCACAGACTTTAGTGTACAGTCTGCATTCTCATGATCTAATCTTTCTTTTTATCTTGACCGCAAGATTATTTCGATCTCTTTTGTTATTTTCATCTTGTCGTGTTAACGTGGTATGATAATGAGCCAGTGCACATCTTTACTAAGCTCTATATTGATTATGATGGATTAATTTTGGTGATAAACATTGCAACTCACCTTAAGATTGAATTTTTATTTTTACATTGTTAATGATCAATGATCGCTTTCATACTCCACCGAATAAATATATGTTTCATATTAGTATTCAAAAGAAACATATTTTCATCTTAATACCATATTAACTTAAACTAAAATGGATTATAGTCAAGTATTTTATTTTGTATAACTGAAAAGTTAAAACAATGAAAGATATATGGTTTATTCATTAAATGATTGTTTTTATGACGTGCTTGTTGAAAGATTCAAGCATTGTATTGTTTAATATTCCTACATGACGTTTTAACTTATCACACTAACAAACTGTGTCTAATTAAACTGATGTGACAATATATTCTAGGTTTTAACACTTTCTCTAGTTTATTATTCTTAATTACTCATTTATTGTATTTTTTTTTATATTTTCCAGATCGTTGCGTTATCCCAACACCATTATCTTCAGCAATTAAAAAGATAGCTTCAGGTTATATGAATGCAACACGGTATGTATCATCATTCATTGGTATAATTTCGAATATAGATAATTATTCACAATTCATTTGTATTTGTATTATTAAAGTCTTCCTTGATAAATTCTCAATAATGACTAAGATTTTTATTTCGTCACTATGTTATTCAGCCGAAATGTGGACACCACTTGTTCAATGTGTGTTTATAAAGCTAATATTGGTAACAGTTTCAAACTTCCTGTTTGTTGAATAAGTTTGTATCTCAACTTATTAAAACAATAGAATAATAAACTTATGAAAATTTGTCAAGAAAAGAGTATCGTTGTTGTATCTTTATTAGAACCCCCTATAATCGGACATTTTTTTTTTTCAATAGTAGTACTTGTATTGTCCTGTTTCATTATTGATTTATTTGTTTATATTACATGTAGGATCGACAACTCATTTTTTACTAATGACTCGATGACTAATGAACTACGACTGAGACCTTAACACCTTTTTGTTCTCTAGCTCATTCCAACCCAGGTGTCTGATCAGTAAACTTAGTTAATTTATAG